GAACCTGGCCTAGGCCTGCCAAACAACGATAGCTACAACCAAAAAAAAGCCGGGCATTGTGCCGGGCACCTGTAGTCCCAGCTAGTTGGGAGGCTGAGGCAAGAGAATTGCTTAAGCCCAAGAGTTTGAGGTTGGGGAGGCGCCTGTGGCTCAGTGAGTAGGGCGCCAGCCCCATATACCGAGGGTGGCGGGTTCAAACCCAGCCCCGGCCAAACTGCAACAAAAAATAGCCGGGCGTTGTGGTGGGCACCTGTAGTCTCAGCTACTTGGGAGGCTGAGGCAGAAGAATCGCCTAAGCCCAGGAGTTGGAGGTTGTTGGAGCGACTCCGCTGTACTCTACCGAGGGCGAAAAAGTGAGACTCTGTCTCTACAAAAAACAAAAAGAGTTTGAGGTTGCTGTGAGGCCACGGTACTCTACCCAGGGTGACACAATGAGACTGTGTCTTGGGAAAAAAAAAAAAAGGAAAGAATACTTTTTCAGGAGCCCTTCTCAGTCATTTCTGCTTATATGTTGTTGGTCAGAATTATGTCACATGAACACTGTGGCTGCAGGAAAGCTTGGGAAATTGAGTGTTAGCCAGGCACAGTGCTGATATGAAGAAGACTGGGACTCAGTAGGAAAGAAGGGAATGGAATTAGAGAGAATGAGTGACTCCCCTGGCTGCCTCTTAGAGAAGCTGCCATGCAGCAAGCACTCGGGTGTCAGCAATCAGGGATCATTTCTTTTATTTATTTATTTTTTGAGACCAAGTCTCACTATGTGGCCCTTGGTAGAATGCCTTGGCGTCACAGCTCACAGCAATATCCAACTCTTGGGCTTAAGTGACTCTCGTGCCTCAGTCTCCCAGGGATCATTTCTTGAGGAACTGATTTATACTGAAACTCTCAAATCCCGGCAATGCAGTATAAATAAGTGAAGTGGACTGGGGGAGGGACAACCAGTAGTGGAGATGATGGCCATTGCTCAGCTCTGGGGATGATGCCAGGAGCATGCAGATGCCCAGTGGCTAGGTCTGCCCAGTTTTCAAGAGAAGCCAGAAAGTTTTGTTTTTTAAACTCTATCTTGAAAAAAGTTAAGTATTACAGAAAAGTTGCAGAGATCATAAAAAGTCCTCACAAAGCCTTTACCCAGCCAATACTAACTTTTACGTAAATGAACACTGGTACAGTGCTATTAACTAAACTAAACAGACTATGCGGAACTTACCAGCTTTTCCACTGTTGTTCTCTTTTCTGCTCCAGGATCCAGGCTGGGAGCCCACATTACATTTAGTCATGTCTTTGTAGTCTGCTGTCCTGTCTGTGGGGCTTTCTCAGAAAGCTAGAGTTTTACGTGACCTTCTCTAAGTTTTTTCACTCTACTGTAGTAATTTCAAAATTACACATTTTACTTATGGTATCTTAGTCATTACCTTTGAATTTTTTCCATATGCATATTTGACTGAACTGAATAAAGTTGATTAACATCTCAGACATCTTCTGAAAAGTAAAAGGACTTGAACAGTTGACTGCTGAACACTCTCTCATATTCCCCACTATTGGTTTTTAAGTTTTGCTTTTTTATTTTATTCCAATTGAAATTATTTTTAGAAGAGCTGACATTCCCATAGTTCAACTTTTAAAATGTATAAGACAAACAGTGAACAAAATCTCTCTCCATCAGTGAGCCAGGCACTCAGAGGCAAATAGTGTCTCCAGGTTCTTATGTAGCCTGTATTTAGAGTCTTACACGTAACATAAGCCAATACAGCTTCAGTAGGTCCTTTTTTTTTTTTTTTTTTTTTTTGAGACAGAGCCTCAAGCTGTCCCCTTGGCTCATAGCAATCTCCAACTCCTGGGCTCAAGCGAGTCTCCTGCCTCCGCCTCCCAAGTAGCTGGGACCACAGGCGCCTGCCACAACGCCCGGCTATTTTTTGGTTGCAGCCGTCATTGTTGTTTGGCGGTCCAAGCTGGATTCGAAACCGCCACCTTAGGTGTATGTGGCTGGCGCCTTAGCTGCTTGAGCCATAGGCGCCAAGCCAGCTTCAGTAGGTCTTTTTAGCTCTTCATTCTTTAGTTTTCTTCACTTATCAATGTATCTTAGAGGTACTTTCATCAGTGTATAAGCAATTTCATTCTTACCTGTAGCCTCATACCATTTCATATTTCTGTATTATTTATTTAATAAGTCCCTGGTTAATAGACATTTAGCTTGTTCCCCACCTCTTATAGTCAGTACTATAATTAATAACCTTGAACTAACACTTATCATTTTGCTTATGTGGAAGTATAGATGCATAGGATATAACCTAGAAGTAGCATTTCTATATTTAAATAGATCAGCCAAATCACCCTCTGTAGGCCTTGAGCCAATTTACCTCTCTACCAGGCGGGTGTGAGAATGTTTTTCCACATGCTCAACAATGTCTTAGCATCTGTCATTTAATCTGATCTTTAGGGCCAGGCATGGTGGCTTATGCCTATAATCCCAGCACTCTAGGAGGCCGAGGTGGGCAAATCACCTTAGCTCACGAGTTTGAGAGCAGCCTGAGCTAGAGCAAGACCCCTCTTTAAAAATAGCCAGGTATTGTGGTGGGTGCCTGTAGTCCCAGGTACTTGGGAGGCTGAGGCAAGAGAATAGCTTGAGCCCAAGAGTTTGAGGTTGCCGTGAGCTGTGATGCCCCGGCACTCTGTCTCAAAAATAATAAATAGGTCGGTTCCCATAGCACAGTGGTTAGGGCGCCAGCCACATACACCAAAGTTGGCGGGTTCAAACCTAGAGTGGGCCAGCTAAACAACAATGACAACTACAACCAAAAAATAGCCAGGCATTGTGGCAGCCGCCTGTAGTCCCAGCTACTCAGGAGGCTGAGGCAAGAGAATCGCTTAAGCCCAAGAATTTGAGGTTGCTGTGAGCCGTGACACCATGGCACTCTACTGAGGGCAACATAATGAGACTCTGTCTCAAAATAATAATGATGATAATAATAAATAAATAATAAAATAAATATGATTGTCTAAAGGTATTTCAATGTTATTTTAATTTGCATTTCTCTTTTTATGAGTAAATGTCTTTCATATGTTTAAGATCCAAATTTATACCTGTTCTATGAACTGTTCATATCATGGGCCTATTTTTCTATTGGGTTATTAGTCTTACTAATTGGTAGGAATGATTTTAGGAAAATTAGCCCTAAATTGTCTGATGAGAGTCACAAATATTTTTCTCAGTTTGTCTTTTTTTTTCTTATAGTTCTTAGCATATAGAAAGATTATATTTTTATGTAATCTAACTTGTTAATTTTTTTTTAAAAAGACAGTGTCTTGCTCTGTCACTCAGGCTAGAATGCAGTAGCATGATCATAGCTCACTGCACTGCAGCCTTGAATTCCTAGGCTCAAGCAGTCTTCCCACCTCAGTCTCCTGAGTAGCTGGAATTATAGGTACATGCTATAGCACTTGAGTCCCAAACAATTTATTGAGAAGTACATCTTCCTTTGATGTGAAGCGCTGTCTTTATAACATATTAAAGTTCCATATGTATTTGCCTCTATTTATGGACTCTTTGTATCCTCTCTCATTGATGTGCCAGTACCACACTGTTTGAATTATTGTAGCTTTACTATAGTTCCTTTTGTTCTGTCCAGTTAATTCCTTACCATATTTGCCCAAGTGCCTGCACACAGCTTCCTTGCTTTTTTCAAGCCTCATCTTTTACTCTCAAAAGACAACCATGCCTCCTTTGTTAATTAAAGAGTGAGGGCATTCCATATGAGCCCCACCCCCCAACTACTATGATATTTAATTTGTATATTTTCATCCTGCATCCTTGAATAATTCCCCTCTCATCAGTCAACCTGGCTGGCTTCCCCCTTATATCTTCAGACTGTCCTGGGTAACCTCTTCTCTATTCCAAAAAAACCTTTTATTGGCTTTGCTACTACTTTTCTCAAGCTAGTATCTCATGTATATTTCTTGCCTTGACATATTTGCTGAAAAGTTAATTTCCATTCCTCGTCTCAGCTTCTTTGCAACCACTTACTCTTCAGAGCCCAGGGTTCTCTCTCAACCACTTGGCCAAAACTTGTCTCACAGAGTCATTAACTTACAGGGTTGCAGTCTCTAAATCCAGTGGCCATGTATCAGGTTATCACCCTGAATCTCTGCAGCATTTGAAGTGGTTGACCTTTCCTCTTGGAACAGCCTTTCTCTTGGCTCTGAGACACCCAGGCATCCCAGTCTCTTTCCCTCTGCTCACTGCCCCATCATCTGCTCTGGTGCTTCTTCCTTTTCCCTCCATTGACATGCTGCTCTCCTTCAGTGAACTACATCCCTTCCTGTGCCTTTCACATCAACTGGAATTCCTCCCAGATCTACAGATTCCCATCTCCCCAGCTTTCCGTCAGACTCTAGGGCTGAATTTCCAGACTGCCTTTAGGAGACCAACTAGGATGGAAAGGAATGGGTAGAGTTAAGACGTGTTGAGAACAATTGGAAGTTGCTTTGTTTGCTGTGGAGCAGTGGTTCTTAAGCTTGGCTGCACCTTGCAATCACCCACCCCCTTCAAGAACAGAGGCTCAGGAGAGCCACCATTCTTGGGCCTGAGTGCTGGTAGGGATCAGGTGGGGTTTGGGAGGTATGGCATCTGTCTGGCTCTCTAAGGGAACTGGAGAATTGGAAAAAACCACTCATGTCATTCTGACGTGGCTTCTGGAGACTCAGGGAGGCTCGAAGAACAGAATGCAGCAGAGGAGGCAGGGAAAGGTGGCACAATGGTTTGCCATCCTCTCGGGCTATTGGAGCCTGCCCTGAACCCCACAAATCTGTCATAAGAGCCAACTAGGCAAGAGCAATAGGATAGGTGACTATGAGATACAAGGAGTAGGAATGATGGGAGAGCACAGCAGGGACTCAGGAAGAACCCCTCCATGGTAACAGCCCCCAAGCATGGTTCACTCCTGCCACCCTCTCTCCCTTGTTACCACCTCCCCCAACCTCTTCCTGTCTTCCCCTCTGTCCAGGCTGATGGGAACCGCCCTGTAGACGTCCATCTTCGTTCAGACCCAGATGATGCCAGAGCTATGACCGGGCCTGCAGGCGTGGTGCCGAGGGGAGATCAGCCATGGAGCAGCCACAGGAGGAGGCCCCTGAGGTCCGGGAAGAGGAGGAGAAAGAGGAAGTGGCAGAGGCAGAAGGAGCCCCGGAGATCAATGGGGGACCAGAGCATACACTTCCTTCCAGTAGCTACACAGGTGAGGAGGGGCTGGCAGGGCACGTGGAGCAGAGGAGGCAGAGCCTGTGGAACGGGGATCCTGCCCCTGTGTGAGCAGTCACGTGGGATGCAGAGTGGTTAAGGACCGGAGCCAGATGGCCACTCACCGGCTGCAGGACCTTGGGCAGGTTGCACCTCTTCTTTCTGTAAAACAAACTGGGATAGTAGGTGACGTGGACATGGGTTTTTGTATGAAGTAAATGAGTGGGTATTTGGAATGCATGTTGTCTCCATTGTTGTGATTGCCACCACTGCTCTCACAAGACATCTGGAACTAATTTGCACTAACACACACTGGAAAGATCATCTATACCTGAGATTGTTAGATCAGTTAAAACACACAACTTGATCGATCTGGTGCTAATTACACACATCATTATTGAGCTGTGTTGTAATTAGGTAAAATTGCTAAGGAGTTAGTATGAATACAATTAATATTATTTTTTTGCAGCCATACAGCTGTAGCTCCTCTTGTCACACCTATTGGCTCCACTTTGTCTGCTGTCAGTAGCAGTATAGACGTTTCTCTCTGGGACCCATTCTGCCGTGTCCACCTTTGGAACACCTAGAATGCCCTCTGCCCCAGCTTTCTGTGTTGCTAATGCTGCTCTTCCTTGCTCCTGGTCTATCCTCAGCTTCTCCCCTTCTCCTTGCACTTCTCTCCTTACCAGAGGGCCATGGGCACAAGTACATCTGCTGATCCTTGCTCCCTTCCCTCAGAGGGAACCTGGGGTCACAAGAGGATATATTGCCAAGAGTACACACCCTGATTTTGCCACTGGTTTCAGCTGAAGGAGATGCAGGCCATAGGTGGTCATTCAGGGTGGGGGGACCATGAACCAACACTGTTTAGTATATGTGGTTTATACCTCTGCTTCTGGGAATGTGTCCTGTGTAAATACTTGCTCAGCATGCACAAGGATTTCCACACCAGCTTATTTCCTGCAGCACTATTCATAAGAGCAAAACCTAGGGAAATCCCCATCTGTGGGAATTGTTTATGTAGACTGTGGTAGAGCCATACTGTGGAATCCTCTAGATCAGTAAGGAAAAGGCTAATTTATATGTATTAAATAGGTTCCTAACAAATTGGGGATCTCATTGTTTAAAAATCCTTATGCCAGTGGTGCCTATGGCTCAGTGAGTAGGGCGCTGGCCACATATACTGAGGGTAGCAGGTTCGAACCGGCCCCAACCAAACTGCAACAACAACAACAAAAATAGCCAGGCATTGTGGCAGGTGCCTATGATCTCAGCTACTCAGGAGGCTGAAGCAAGAGAATCGCCTAAGCCCAAGAGCTGAAGGTTGCTGCAAGCTGTGATGCCACAGCAGTCTACTGACAGCAACAAAGTGAGACAATGTCTCTAAAAAAAATAACAAATAAAAATAAAAATCCTTATGTATCATAGAAGGTACCGGAAGATCATACGTTAAAGGACTAGTGGGGCTCTGAGAAGTAGCATCATGGATAAGAAGGAGCCATCATGTATTATTCTCGACAAGCCTGTATTACTTTAATACTTTATTTTTTTTTCCTATATGCCTTCATCCATTTCTTTCTTTTTTTTATTAAGTCTTTTGTACATAGATCATAAATATATGTATGCCATTATAGGATTCAATGTGTTGATTACTTGTACAAATTGGAATGCGTACATCCTACTAAACAACATAGCCTTCACCACTTTTACCCAATTACAGGATTAAGACATTTGTGTTCTACACTTGATAGATCCAACTTATACTTGCAATACGCTCCATAGGTGTGGTCCCCCTACCTACCCACCCTCCTTCCTTCCCTTCTCCCTCCCTTACTTTAATACTTTAAAAAGCAACTACACTCCTCTTTTTTAAAGGTTAAAATTAATCTTTTTTTTTTTTTTTTTTTGAGACACAGTCTCAAGCTATCGCCCTGGGTAGAATGCCGTGGTGCCATAGTTCACAGCAACCTCAGACTCTTGGGCTCAAGCTAGTCTCTTGTCTCAGCCTCCTGAGTAGCTGGGACTATAGGCGCCCACCACAATGTCTGACTATTTTTAGAAACAGGGTCTCACTCTAGCTCAGGCTGGTCTCGAACTTGTGAGCTCTGCCTTGGCCTCCCAGAGTACTGGGATTATAGGCATGAGCTACCACATACAGCCAGTCTTCTTTAAATGGGTAAGGGAAGTTGGCAGATCCTGTGTTGGCACTTTGCGATCACATACACCAGGGCAAGAATTCCAGGTCCTCCATTATAAGCTGTGGCCCCTGCTTGTCCAAGTCAGTCCCTTCGCCTTCAGGGGCTATGTCCTGTCCACCTTGGGGGCCAGATGGGTGAGAGTCAATGATGGTATCTTCTACATCACAGATCTCAGCACCTGCTGGTTCTCTGCCTCACTCTCATGAGCTGTGACTTTGGCCTCCAGAGTCTCCTCAGGAACCCATAAAGACAAAGCACATCCTTAAGCCCTGAAATAGCAAGACAGCTCCACAATTTGCCGCATCTCTGACTCCCCTGCAGTTCTGCACTCTCTGTGCCAAGCACCTCCTCCTCACCCCTACCATCTCAGGCAGGCCTTCCATTAGCACTCAGCACCAGGGAAACTAAGGTTATAAGAAACTCATTTGGCTCAGCACCTGTGGCTCAAGTGGCTAAGGCGCCAGCCACATACACCTAAGGTGGCAGGTTCGAATCCAGCCCCGCCAAACAACAATGACAGCTGCAACCAAAAAATGGCCAGGCATTGTGGCGGGCGCCTGTGGTCCCAGCTACTTGGGAGGTTGAGGCAGGAGACTCACTAGAGCCCAGGAGTTGGAGGTTGCTGTGAGTTGTGATGCTACAGCACTCTCCCCAGGGGGACAGCTTGAGGCTCTGTCTCAAAAAAAAAAAGAAGCTCATTTGTGGCCAGGCGTGGTGGCTGTTGCCTGTAATCCTAGCACTCTGGGAGGCCAAAGCGGGTGGATTGCTTGAGCTCATGAGTTCCAGACCAGCCTGAGCAAAAGCGAGACCCCATCTCTACTAAAAATACAAAAACTTGGCTCAGCACTCGTAGCACAGTAGTTATGGTGCCAGCCACATGCACCAAGGTTGGTGGGTTCAAATCCCACTTGGGCCAGCTAAACAACAATGACAAAAAAAATAGCTGGGGGCTGTGGGAGCCTATAGTCCCAGCTACTTGGGAGGCGGGGGCAAGAGAATGGCTTAAGCCCAAGAGTTTGAGGTTGCTGTGAGTTGTGACTCCACAGCACTTTACTGAGGGCGACATAGTAAGATTCTGTCTCAAAAAAATAAAAATAGAAAAACTGAGGCAAGAGGATTGCTTGAGCCCAAGTTGGAGGTTGCTGTGAGCTATGATGTAACAGCACTCTACCCAGGTGACAGCTTGAGACTGTGTCTGAAAAAAACAAAAACACAAGAAACTCATTTGCCTGGGGTCCCCGAGCTGGTTAAAAGGGCAGCTGAGTTAGGACTCACACCCCATTCTCATCCTCATTCCCTCCTGCTTTAATGACATCCATCCTAGTTACGCCTGAGAAATAGGCAGATAAAGTGTTCTTCCTCCTGGCCTGAGTGCCTCCTCTCACTTGGGAGGCATTCTGGCTAGGGGAGGCGCTGGGCCAGGGGCGAGCTCTTCATTGGTGGATAAGGCTGAGTGCCTGACCTGAAGCCCACAGTCCAGGTGAACAGGACAGCAGAGGAAAGGCTGCTTGATAACCTAGCCCCAGATCCCTGCCAAATTTGGCCTGATTTCAGAAGCTTCAAGATGGTTTGCCTCTGGGCTTTGCCAGTAAAGTAAATAGACTGTGAGGGCAGCCAGGACAACAACATAGCTCCAGCGATGGAGACTAGATAGATACGCAGGAGAGCTCTCAACCACATGTAAATTATGTGAACAAGGTCAATATTGTCTGTTTGCTGAACTTGTAATCAAGGATGGCGAAACTGATACTCAACTCTCTGGGTGATAGGGCTGGTGTTTACACTGAGTCCAAACATTGGGATAATGACACAGTGTTCTCCTTAGCGGTGACCATGTCATGTTTTTGTTTATCATAATAACATTATTGATTAATAGTAATGAGCAAATATATATGGGTAGTAGAAAAGCACAATGGTTTAGAGCTCAGCTCCAGGAGCTGGATAGTTCCAGGTTGTAATTCTCACTCTGCCACTATTAGGGTACTCCAGAGAAACAGAACCCACAAGATGTGCATGTGTGTGTATATATATAGAGAAAGATGTTTCAAGGAATCAGCTCACACAATTGTAGGGGTATCAAATCCACATTCTATAAGGTATGCAGGCTGGCAAACAGGCTGGAAACCCAGGGAAGTTAAAAGTTGTAGCCAAAATCCAAAGACTATTTGCAGGGTGAAAGTCCACCTTCCTCATGGTGAGGGTTGGAATAGGGTCTCAGTCTTTTTTTCTTAAAGCCTTCACCTATTAGATGAGGCTCACTCACATTGTGGTGGGTAGTCAGCTTTACTCTAAGTCTAACTAATTTAAATGTCATCACATCTAAAAAGTAATGAAAGCATTTTTTTTTTTTTTGCAGTTTTTGGCCAGGGCTGGGTTTGAACCCACCACCTCCAGCATATGGGGCCTGCACCCTACCCTTTTGAGCCACAGGCACCGCCCATAATGAAAGCATTTTTAAGATATCTTCCTAGCCAGCTTATGCCTGTAATCCTAGCACTCTGGGAGGCCAAGGCAGATGGATTGCTTGAGCTCACCAGTTCAAGGCCAGCCTGAGCAAAAGTGAGACCCCGTCTCTACTAAAAATAGAAAAACTGAGGCAAGAGGATCACTTAAGCCCAGGAGTTAGAGGTTGCTGTGAGCTTTGATGCCACGGCACTCTACCCAAGGTGACAGCTTAAGGCTCTGTCTCAAAAAAAAAAATACCTTCTTAACAACATCTAGACTGGTGTTTGACAAAAAAACTGGATACCATGGCCTAGTCAAATTGACACATAAAACCATCACAGCCACTGTCATCAAGTTACTTAACCTTCTGAGTCTCAGCTTCCTCACCTGTGAAATAGGGGTAAGAAGACCTCCTTGAAAGTTTATTTTGAGGTTTACATGAGATTAGTGGATGTAAAGTGCCAGGAAGAGTGCCTGGTGCACAGTGAGCATGCAATAAAAAGAAAGCACTATTGGACAGCCACAAAGTCTGGTTAATCTTCAAGTCCCAGTACCACTGTGTTTTAAGCAGGTAACTTTGGGTGAATCCCTTAACCCAGTGGTTCTCAACCTTCCTAATGCTGTGGCTCTTTAATATAGTTCCTATGGGTCATGACCCACAGGTTGAGAACCGCTGCCTTAACCTCACTGAACCTCGGTTTCCTTCAAATGGTGGTAATTAGTATCTTCCAAGATAATAATGAAAGGATACACATATAAAGACTCTAACATACTTGGCACTTAGTAAGGGACTGATAAATGCTGGCCCTTTTGAGGCCCTTTAGATGTTTGGGAGGTTGGGTAGGGAGGCCATCAAGGTGTCAAGTGGACATTCAGAGGCAGAGCTCAGGGCCCAGAGGATGGCCCCATCAGGTAAGCAGGTGCGTTTCCTGAAGCAGTGGAAGGGAGGCAGAGGGGAGGAAGGGCTAGGCTTGGTGAGAGACCCTGCACTGGTGAGGGAGAGGGGAGAACAAGGAAAGCACCACCAGGAGATGTGAATAATCTGAGATAATTAGCCACTGTGAGCAAGACTCAGTGGCAGTGGTAGGCTCGGAGATCCAAAGGGACTGAGCTGAGTCTAGCAGGGGAAGCAGACGTGCAAGCCACAAAAACACCGATTACCACAAGTGATACAAAGCAGACATGCGCATGAACCTCTCCGGTTTAAGGAGGAAGTGCAGAAAACCCTCCTTGCCCTAGCATCTCCACAAGGAAATATAATCAATCCTGTAATCCTGCCACTCTGGGAGGCTGAAGCAGTCCGATTGCTTGGGCTCAAGAGTTGAGTTTCTGGGGCGGTGCCTGTGGCTCAAAGGAGTCGGGCGCCAGCCCCATATGCTGGAGGTGACGGGTTCAAACCCGGCCCTGGCCAAAAACTGCAAAAAAAAAAAAAAAAAGA